AGTGAGACGATCTGAGTTCCTTTTTTTTTTTTTTAAAAGTTTTCTTTTCTTTTTCTTTTTTTTTAAAGATTTATTTATTTATTATGTATACAGAGGAGGGTGCCAATCTTATTACAGATGGTTGTGAGCCACCATGTGGTTGCTGGGAATTGAACTCAGGACCTCTGGAAGAGCAGTCAGTGCTCTTAACCTCTGAGCTATCTCTCCAGCCCCTGAGTTTCTATTTTTAAAAGATTTCTCTGAGGCTCGGGAGAGAGCTCTGTGACAGAGGGTGTGACGAGCACACGCAGGGTCCTGGGTTCAATCTTCAGCACTGCAAGAAAATAAAAGATTGCTCTATGGCATGAGGCCACGGATTTAATCCTTACTGTGAGGGAAGGAAGGCTGTCTGGGCTGTTCTACAGGCACAGAGGGGCAAGGGGCAAGACCGGATGTGAGGAAATCAGCCAGAGGGTCCCAGGGAAGATGGCGAGGGCTGGGACTAGGAAGACTGCGGTGAATGGAAGTAGAAAGATAATTGAGGAGAAATCAAAACACTTAGTGACTGACCCATTATCTGCAAAGAGGCATCTGGCATGATGTGAATGACTGAGGATATGTTGATGACCAACAGTATATTAATGTAAGCCCAAGTAGAAGATGATGGCCTTCCCCTTTCATTTTGGGACATCATGAATTTGAAAACCTACAAGACATCCAGATGGAGACACGTGGGAACATTCCTAACCAGCAGTAACTGAGTGGGCACGGTGGCTCAGGCCTGTAGGAGGCAGGAGGTCAGCCTGATCTACATACATATTGAGTTTCAGGCTGCTAACCAAGGCTATGGAGGAAAACCTTGTCCCCAGGAAAAAAAAAAAAAAAAAAACGAGAAAGGGCTGGCAAGATGGCTCAATAAGTAAGGTATTGCCTAATAACCTGAGGTCAAAGGACTGACTCCCACAAGCTGTCCTCTGACCTCCACGGGCACAATGTGACGTGTGCATACCCCCTTCCCTTGATAAATAAAGAAAACGGATTTTTAAAACAGAGAAAAAGCTGGACAGTGATGGCACACCTATAATCCCAGCACTCAGGAGGCAGAGGCAGATAGATCTCTGTGAATTCGAGGCCAGCCTGGTCTACAAACAAGTTCCAGGACAGCCAGAACTGTTACACAGAAAAATCCTGTCTTGAAACCCTCCCCCCCCCCAAAAAAAAAGAGACAAAAAGGCCAATAGTTCTTCTAGAACTTTAATATTCATGTTATTTTCACAACACCTGTCATATACTACCTGAGTCCAAGCTGACTCTAAGAATATCCATCCCTTAAAAGGCTAACTCCTGGAGGATCGAAACTCCACGTCCGTCATTATGACACTACTATTCACAATTCATCTCCCCATCCTGTGGCCCTTACCTGAATGCTGCTGCATGTGGTCAAACCTCCGCTCCCAGTCCACCCGGACCTGGACCTGGCTCCCAGGGGACAGAGGTGTCTGTGTGAAATGATCGGCCTGGGCCCCACGACGGGTAACTCTCAGCACAGAGATGTCGTTGATGGTACCACGGTCATCAGGCTGGGGGAAAAAAGTAATCAACACCAGGGCAGGTCTCACCCTACCAAGATTCACCGACACTCTAAGGGGAAGCTCTCAGAGAGACGGACCCAGATCCTGAGTTTCCTAGAGGAAGAGGAGACAGTGTCAAGTGAGGTGGACCCACTTTGTTCTATGACAGGATTTCCTGTCCTCTTTTTAAACACCTGTATATGTTGTTCTTTAGGGCAGAATAGGAGGATTAAAACAAAAAAAAAAAAAGCAAGCACAGTAGTGAAGATTTTAGTAAAACCCAAAGAGCCTTAATCCTACTTGTTATCACCTTAGATTATCTTAAATAGTCTCTAAAGTGCCTGAGTATTCCTGCCTTTAACCCCTCGTTCCTCAGCACTGACGCCAGAATTCATCATTTAGAAAAGTAGCAAGTGCCAGCAGCTTACAAGGCACTGTGCCAAGCAAATAACGCAGTGGGAATCAGGCCCCCAGAAACTAAATCTAAAGGGACCCAATTGTTTTGGGGAACCTGGGAAAACTGAAGGAGTGTGTAACATGAAGGTTTCAGGGCTGATAAGATGCTACCAAGCCTGAACACCCTGGCACCAGGGTAGGAGGAGAAAAGCAACTCCCACAAATTCTCTCTCTCTCTCTCTCTCTCTCTCTCTCTCTCTCTCTCTCTCTCTCTCTCTCACACACACACACACACACACACACAC